GCCATGTTTAACCCTCCTCTTGAGGTCAAAAGGTTATCAGACACTTACTCTTCGCACGTCAGCAAAGTAGATTTCACGGTCCTTTTCAATAAAGTGATAAAAATGGTAGTTCAGGCGGGCTGAACGGTAATTGGTGTGTGAAACGAATGGAACTCTGCAAGGCTAGGCGCTGCCATACCTGCCCACTCTCATTGGTTGATACAAATCTACGTGCCTGAAAACTCTCTGTTTTAAATAATTCGCGTTTTAATGTGGTGGCATTGTGACCACGTAGAACCCTAACGCTAACGCGCTAATGCCTAACCCTAACGCCTAACCTAACACCCTATATCCTAACGCCTAACACTACTTAGAATTGTAATATTCAAAAATTTAACTAATTTGTATCACCAATGCAGAGTTGGATGGTAATGCAGGCCCTAGCTTAACCTACTGAGATGGTAGGTCACTCCGGTCCGGTTAGATCGCATAGTTCTGCAGAAAATGTCTGATATCTGACACCTTTCGCCGCCACTGCCTCTTTGACGGCTCCAATTTCGCGCTTGGTGATCGGTTTACTCCCCATCACCTATACATGCGAAGTATTAAAGGGAGAGTTACTCTTAGGTTTGTAGGGTTACTTTCAGCTAATTTAGGTATAATTACGCTCACATAAAAAGTTTCCATAGTTCAATCCCCGATTAGAAATATTATTAAAAAATGTTTGTAAACCTAACGACTATCCAGTTTGATTACAACGACGGTGCGCCACTCGAACAGCGCACGATATGATAAGTTGGCGCGAAAACACTTTCCAAGGGCCAAGGGCTACAACGCGAGGAGTTTTTATTTATATTGTATTGTAAAAGCGAAAAAGATTTGTAATATCTTTATAAACGACAGTATAGGTTTCACATGTAATATGGATAAATTTGGGCGCGCCGGCTAAAGATGAATATCGTTCGGTTAAATAGCATTTAGGTATAAATAATAATTGCACTTTGTGATTAGCCTCGTCGTGTAACCTGCAAAATAAAATGTCAAATAACCGCAACTTTTTCGGGGTGTCAGCACGGTCGCGGAGTCATGCGCCGTTTCACAATTCGTCAGCGTTGATGGTGTAATAATTATAACAATTAAGATTAAGTAATCTGGTAACAGAACTACCGTGTGGTCCTAGACCGATTTGTTACATACAGAATACAGTCTGTAATGCAGGTAAACATCCTAGAGGCGTGACTGTCCCTTGTAAGATGTATATAACGAGCGTAGGCCTCTAGTACTGCATACGCCCGCGGTCGCTGCCCGCAGGCTGCCGATCGATCCGCGGGCTATAAGTACTAGCAGCTAATAAGAGCTGTAGGTTCGAGCCGTTTGATATTTGTGGCCGCATTCCGTATGTTCTTCCTATACCGTAAAGTTGAAGGGGGAAATATTACGCTCTCCATGTGAGCAACATCTTGACCTTTGAGCCTTTGGCCCCAAATTCTCGCCCAGCAAAAACTTTCTACTAGTGAGTAGTAGTAGGTAAAATAAATGCGTGGTTCAATTTACCATAATTTCATCACAGTAGAAATTGCCCACGGCTGCCTGTGAATAACGTGAAGCAGCATATAAAGCTATATATTATGATACGTACATGTTCACGTGATGTATAGTCCTGTACAGCTGTGAGTGAACAACCGTCACGGGTCATGCAACACTGTCTGTGATGTTGTGTCCGTCACATTCCACGCGCGTGTTGGTATAAACCCCGCGGATTCGCGGTTTTTGCGCGCGCTGTTACACCTGGTAATAGTAGTATCGTGGCTGCGCGATGAACCTGAAAAGGCGACTTGTAATCGAGATGAAGACTAACGCTAAGGGAAAAATTCGTCAATGCGATAGTGAAGGCGTGACTGTGCGGTAGGCCGACGCTTGCGTCAGCTACGTGAATTTAGCATAAGTACGTGCTGTTCCTAAGTTCGGCGCGGATTACGAATAATTACAATGTATTTGCAGAATCAAGCCCTGCGTTGATTGAATGCAGGCCATTCATGCCACAGGCCGCTCACCGCAGCGCTAAATACCCGACGTCATAGCGCGAGGGGCGGACTTATATAGTCAAATAGGAGCTATCCACAGTCTACAATCGAATGTAGGCGCCGTTAACTTAACTGATTAAGTTTGATGCTATAGACACTGGAGCGGATCGTGGCAGGAAGGGCAACGCGAAAAAATAAAATCCATCGACTGTAGAGGCATAATTATAAAAGGTGATCAGAGAGCAAGGGGCGATCGGGTAAATAGTGAAAATGAGAACAGATGTGCGGAAGGAGAGTAGATAGGAGAGGGGCGATGTGCGAAAAATGAGAGCGGAAATAGAAAACGATCAAAGTATAAGAGGTGGCGAGAAACAACTCTTTCAATTCGAAGCATATTCTGCAGCTTATCTGCTTAACGCTGAGCAATGTAATGGCCTGTTGTACGCTAACCGTGTAAATCAGCATACCTTTACTAAGCGATATTATCGCGTGAAAATTGCGACCGCACCGTTTCACGTCGATCGTCCTTGTGCAGCAACGCTTCATAACACGCGCGTGAGTGATTTCTGCTAATCAGTGAAACGAGGGGCGTGGAGCAAAGCGTTCCCAGAGTAGGCAAGCTACTAATGAGAGAGAGAACAATCCGCGCTTAGCAGCTGCAGCTGACGAAGGCTCCGTGCGATGTGTTCCTAAGCGCCCGGTGGGAGGTGTGCTTATATACGTCTGCGCGGTATCCCGCGCGTGGCTGATAATAAACGATAAGCGTTACCAACATTGGGCGGACAAAATCAGCGCAAACGCGTTCACCGTTTATGTGATTATCGAGGAATGCACGAGGAAACTACCGAATAGGGCAATAAAGTATAACGCAACTGTGGGCGCAATTAGTTCTGCTATTGAAGGCTAAATTACTAACGTAATCCGTGCAGTCCCGCATGTCGACCAACATGAGAACAAGATGTTGGGCAGTAAATGCGCAAAAATGCCCCGCATCGCAACGTGCTGGCGGATAACGTCTGTGATATAACGTCGGCTAGGCCATATGACGAATCGGTTTTTTCCACCATTATTAACAGTTTAGCAGCC